CCATAGCAAACATGTTAGGCTAGTCATGGTGGGAGTAACTTAGGTAGTAACATAATACACTTCAAATTTTTTTTGCTTATGTGGCATGTAGTTAATGAGTAGAGAGGTATTTAGAGTAACATAATATGTTACTGTAACATAGCGCTTTCCGAGAAAGGATGAATCTACAAGCTAATAAATAAACCCATCTATGACATTACTATTATGTTACTTTGCACTATGGAGATAGTAACTTAGACTAGTGTCATGCATATGACACTAGTCTAAGTTACTCCCCACTATGACCAGCCTTATTAAGGCATTAATATGATGTACAGACTCCAAATTGTTAAGCTGGTCATAGTGGGGCTAACTTAGGTAGTAACCTAACACACCCCAAGGCAATTTTACTTATGTGACAAGTATTTAATGAGGAAAGAGGTATTTGGAGTAACATAATATGTTACTGTAACATAGCGCTTTCCGAGGTAAAATATGTCTATAGGATAATAAATGAAGTTATCTATGACACCACTCCTCCTCGCTCCTTCCATCTATATAGGGCCTAATGCATTTTTCGAGGTTAACTTTGACCAAATATTAAAACAATAATATATGACATGCAACTTACACAAAGCACATCGTTAAATTCGTGTGTGAAAGGAGCTTTCAATGGTATAATTTTCACATTGTGCATGTCATGTACTATTAATCTTGCTAAAAGTCAAAGACGGTCTTAAAAAATATATTATGCCCTATATAGATGGAAGGAGGGAGTATAATACTTTGCACTATGAAGGTAGTAACTTAGACTAGTGTCATATGCATGACACTAGTATAAGTTACTCCCCACTATGACCAGCCTTAGAAAGGATAGAGAGAGATTGATGGAATCGTTGTTTATTGCTTGAGTCTCGTGAGCATATATATAGAAGTACATGGTCAACTTGGAGTACAAGGCAAGCTAGAACAAATCCTAATATATTTCGTATTCCTAACTAACCATAATACTCAACATCCCCCGTGGTCACAACGGTAGTGACGCAGGCGATGAGACTGGAGAAGAATCCGAAGGTAAGCTGACGGACATCCCCCACAGTCGTAGCGGTCGATGCATCGCGAAAATTATGGTTGGAGTGGAAATCGACGAGGTTGCTCAAATAAGGCGGTAGCCCTTTGTGCTGACGTCAATGTAGCCGAGAGCGTAGGGTGGTGTAGCCGTGGTCGAGGTTGCCATGCAAAGAATGTCGTGGTCGATGTCGAGTCGGGGTAGCTGGTGTAAAGAAAGTTGCCATGGAGCCGCGGGCGCAAGGAGGCGCCGAGTTAGTCATGGGTGCAGTGGTGTCGAAGTACTGGTGCGCCGGAAGAAGAAGTTGTTGACGAGGCGTCGCGCCGGCTTTGCCAAACCCGGGGACACATCATAGACGAAGGCACGCGTCGGTGTTGACAGCACCGGGCATGCTTAGACGGACGAAAATGAAGTTGAAAAAATGCCGTACCAGGCATGCCAGGCTCGGGGACACGTCACGGACGAAGGCACACATCGATGGTGCTAGCACCGAGCATGCGTAGACGAGGGACCTGTACGAGTTGTACGCCATGTCGAGGAGTCGACGGGGCTAGCAGAGAAGGAGACTTCATATGTTTGTGGCACCAATCGGCATGGGAACGATGTCACCAACGGTGGTCCGAGTGGACGAAGTGGTGGGGGAAGATGACGGTGACACTCGCGGCGAGCTGTTGCTGGACGAAGACGAAGGGGGTGGACGGGCGGCAGCGGCTACAGGACTAGCGGCGGCGGCGGTGCTCAAAGTAGGCGAGGAAACCGACAATGTGCAAAAGACCGGCTCGGACGGTGGCGTTCCCGGGCCAAGGGAGGCGGCGCGACGCATACCACTAGAAGTCGATGCGTGAGGACGGCGGAGTGGACTGCGGGTCGCGGTGCGACGGCCCGAAGGGGCGACACAGCGGCGGCCTGATGGCGGCAGTGCTCGAAGTAGGCGAGGAAACCAACAACGTTAGGAAGACCGGCTTGGACGGTGGCGTTTCCGGACCAAGGGAGACGGCGCGACGCATACCACTAGAAGTCGATGCATGGGGACAACAGAGCGGACCGCGGGGGCCGCGGGGCAACGGCTCGAAGGGGCGATGTAGCGGCGGCATGCAGGTCAGGACGACAGTGGGAAGACCTCTGGGCGGTGGTGTGAACCGTAGACCGCGGCGCTGGGGCGGCGCAGTGGCGAAGCACGGGTCGGTGCAACCGCGGGAAGGACCTCGGGTGGCGGCGTGGATAGCGTGTCGCAGCACTACAACCCAAAGGGGTGACGCAGCGGCGACGCGCGAGCCGGTGCAGCTGCAAGGAAAACCACGGGGCGGCAACGCTGCGGCCCGACGAGGCGACACATAGGCATACCGTTGCTCGATCGAGGGTGGGGCGCGCTGAATTCAGGGACGGTTTTCACAGGACCCGCAGAGACGCGCACAAGTAACTAGCTAGATCGGTCGCACGGTGCGGATGAAGCGGAGTGGCGACCAGATAATCAATCTGGCCGCTCGCGAGATTGGGGTCATCGGTCGGTGATGAGGCGGCCGAGCCACTGAGGGCACGCGTGGGGGACGCGCGAATAGCCGGTGCGTGCACGCGGCCCATGCCCGAGAGGGGTGCAAGCGGCGCCGCACAACACAGCCGGTACACGCATCGTGTGGGCGCGGTGCCAAGGCTAGTGGACAGATGCAGCTGACCGGGGTGGACGTGAGGTGATGCAGGATCCTGATCAGATGAGGGCAATGACGATTGGCACAGAGCGACGGGCGGGCAGACGCACGAACAACGGTCGAGATGGGCCACCGCTTCGTGTGTGGCCGCCGGGTCGATGGGGAGGCCGAGTTGTCGCGTCGGTGTCGAAATAGAGGCGCACTGGTGTCGATGGCGGCGGCGGGTGATCCAAATTGATCTTAGATCGAAAAAACAAAAAGAAACGCCGATTAAGATGACCGACAAGAAAAAAAACCTCGATTAAGAGATCGGAAAAAAGACTATGTAGACAACCGATCAACACGAGTGGGCGATGGACGGCGGCTAGGATTGAATCAGTTAAGTTGATACCATGTTAAAAAAGATAGCGAGGAAATGGTAGAATAGTTGTTTATTGTTTGAGCATCATAGGCATATGTAGGAGTACATGTTTAATTTAAAGTGCAAAATAAACGAGAACAAATTCTAGTCTATCTCGTATTTTCTAATCAATCATAATACTCAACCCAAATGTTGGCTCAAAGGGGAGGAGAGGGGACTCGAAAACGACGGCCCGGTTGTATGTAGAGTAGTAATGTAGTGCTACGTCTACGTGTATCATGTCATATAGCTGAGGCTGTCGTAGCTAGCGTAGTGGCGTAGCAGCAGCGAGTGACGCAAGGCAACGGCAGGAGGGCCTGGGCAATGCTGCACGCTGCATGCTGATGCCGGGTAAAGGGCGATGGACTTTGCTTTGCGTATGAATGAGTCGCCAGGCCAGTTTGCCTTTGCCATCCTACGCGTATGCATGCATGCATGCATGCGTGACGACCGACGGGAGTGGTATGCTATGCTATACTGGGAGCTCCTTCTCCGTCTCTTTCGACACCCCAGCGACGTGCCGGCCCTATTCACGGAAACTCGTCCTCATCACGCCATGCCATGCCTACATCCACTGCGCCAACTTTTTCTTTCGCCTTGCCTGTGCTGTGCACCATGACTTCCCATATTTCAAAGCCAGCGTTACCATACCACCTCCTTTTTTTTATTTGCCGGACTTACCACTTTGCTCTGACCGGCACATATTTACATACTTGTGTGTATGAGTGTATCACGACCAACAGTACTAATATTCTAGTATAGTTTTTCTAGCATGTCAATGTTTTTTTTCCTTCGTTTTTTTTTCGGGGAGATTTTTCTACGTGTGAAAGCATCATGACGCGTAGCAAATAACCGTGCCTAAAATATCGCTTGTATTACGACTAGTGCAGATGAGTTCATTGTGGATCGTCACACGAACCGTGCTTGCTTGCCAGCGGCATCTAGTCTTAGCTAACCTCAGATTCTTACCGGCCATGAGCAACAAAAAAGTAAAAATGTGCTAAAAACTAGCCGGTACAGTGAGGTTAAAGCATCTCACGGCAACCGCTTCATGCATGCATGCTATGCTACATCACGCCTTTGAACCAAGCCCTCCAAAAAAAAGGCAAGTCACGTTTCATGCGGCTCTGATCTGCTGCTGCATGCGTCTGGCATCTGCGACTGCGTGCGTACGTACCGGTCCTCTACTACGGACAGTCGCGTGCATCACCTTCTGTGGACGCATCTTCCCACTTTCCATCAATTCAAAATTCAATTTTCCACCAACAAAATGCTACGTACTACACCTTCAACTATTATACTCTTATTAGGATTATTTTTCCTCTACTAGGAGTAGTACAAGTATGCATGCGAATGCGATGCATGTACCCATCAAAACGTCCAATTGAGTAGTAGCAGTATACACGAACATTTTTCGAAAAGTATATACACGAACATGGATAGAGATGATAGTATGTATGGTTTACGGTGGACAGATACTTGATTTATCTCAGGATAATAATAACGCCATGTGCATGCTAGCTTGCTAGGCTTCATTGCATTGCATTACATTGTTGGTCTGATCTCATCTGATGGCTAAGTATCCTTCCACTCCACTCTGACTCTGTAACGAACTAGTACGTGCTAGATAACCATCACCTAAAAAAAGAAAACACAAACACACGCAACTGACAAGGCTAATTAAGCTTTCCTTGTTAATTATATCTACATCTCACTAGCCAGTGAAGCTCAACACACCATGCATTGCACGCACGCGTCCATCCATCGCACAGCCACAGGCACAGGCACGGCACATGAAAAGAAAAGAAAAGAAAAGAAAAGACGACCAACACACAAAGTAAACGCCGTCGTTGATCACCACCATCATCAGTTCCGGCCGGCCGGCGAGACAGCAAAGCAATGCGGCTCAGAGCCAGAGCGCGCCGGCGTCCTTGAGGAGCGGGACGAGCGTGCCGTTGATGTGGCACGCCATCACCTTCTCCACGCCTCCCAGGAGCCTCCCGCCGACGAACACCACGGGCACCGGCGGCTGCTGGTGGTGGCCGGCGCCGGGTCCGGGGGGCAGCAGCTGCGCCAGGGCCGCCTGGATCTCCCGCCCGGCGCCGCCCATCTGGTCCAACTCGTAGACGGTGGGGCCGACTCCCAGGCCAAGCAGGAGGCGCTTGACGACGTGGCACATGCAGCAGCCGCTGGCGCTGAAGACGACCACGGCGTTGCCGCTGGCCATGCGAGCCACCCGCTCGTACACCGCCGCCTCCTCCGCCTCGGCCACGATGCCGCCGCCCACCACGCCCTCCACCTGCTGCTGCATCCTCAACATCTTGGCGCCTACTTCTCCTTCTCCTTCTCCCTCGCCGGCCTAGCCTCGCCTAGCTAGCTAGTGAGAGTGTAGTTAATTGTTTGTTGGCGCAGTGCAAGGGAACGAGGATGAAGAAAACAGGGAGCGGTGGACGTGCGTTTATATAGGAGAGGCGGACAGGTCGAAGGGTGTGTGTGTGTGTCTCTCGAATGGAAGTGTGATGGGAGAAGGGAAGGGAGTATACGGGGGTGGGGTGTGGGGAGTCAAAGAGACATGGATCGCTTTTGGCAGAGCCGGTCGCGAGCTCCGCAACGAACCCGGCACACTCTGACCACCACTACTCCACCCCATTCCACTACGGTTACAAGAGATGAGATAGAGAGTAAAGCGAGGAGCAAGCTAAAGAGCTATGCGGTAGTAGCTTTTGTCCGTAGACGAGGAGAAGGAAAAAAGCAAAGGGATGGCCGAAAGATGGATGGATGCATGGCATGGCGAGCCGATCCTAGCATGCATGCACGGCCGCCTAATCTACTCATGTTGTGGCACATCAGCAAAATCAATTAATAGTACTCTTTTCTTTTAGGGTGTGGTTAGGTCTCAGTCGACTGAAACTTAACCAAGTCTCACTCAAATGATATACAGTAGTATGTAAGAAGAAAAAGAGAAAACAAACTGAAAATATATTTTTTGTACGAATCTTCATGCAAAATTAAAGAAAAATAACATCAACTGAGATATAACGAAGTCTCGGTCAGCAAAACTATTTTCTTTATAATGAACCAATGTGCCTTCAAACTTAGGAATTTACATGTATCTGCAGGCCAAGAATTTGAACGCCGACTATACGGAGGGAGGGAGGGAGGAAGGGAACGAAGCATGGACACGACGTGACAAGACAAGCGTCGATCGTCACGGCAGCCGACAAGCCGACAGCACGACGTCCCCCTCAGCCGCCGTTTGACTCCTCGGCCCCACTGCCACCAAACGCCGTCACGCCCATCGTCACCTCCTTCACGTCCCACATTGCCTTCACGTGATCGATTCCCCCACCAGACCCCGGCCGCATGCATAACCGTCCATTGCTCTTGGCCTCTTGGGTCTTCGTCACCAACGCCTCACACCACACAACCAACCAATAGATCAGCACAACGGGGCATAGTCGGTTGCGCGCAGTTAGAGCAACGGTAATAGAGTCCCCGTATTGGCAGCTTCCGTATGTGTGTATGTAGAGCGTGTATCATTTGCATTATAAAAGCGTCTACAACTAAACTTGCCAATGCCAAATCCGACCTGTCAAACGCACACGGACTCAGTCAAGCCTTAAATTTTTTCTTCTCACAACTGAACACCTCAATTATCATATCTCAAATCCATACAAAATCATGCAACTAAGTCGATGCATTATACACATCATTCGAATACTACATCACTGACATGCCATCGGACTACCAAAATTTGGCATATATGTACAACGTGTATCATATGCATTGTAAAGGTCAACGAGGTAATGTGTAAACCTAAGACTCTTTAGGGCATGTACAGCCGGACTTGGCAAATCCGACCCCCTATATGTCCGCGGACGCGTCTGGACGCTTTCGCAGACAGCGCCGGAAGACCCCTCATATGGGTTGCCGCACATCCACACACCTCAAATGCGGAGTTTCAAATCCATGCACGTCGATCATACGATACAAATTGTCTGAATTCAAAAGTTTAAAACAAAGCAAACCAAATCATAGTTCAACAATCCGGGCACGCCAAAATGAAATCAATGTCCGAGCGTGGCAGATGCCTCACATGATAGACAAATCACTTGCCGGACACCATCCATGCCGCCTGCTTCGAGGCCATCCGCGCCTCCTACTCCGCCTGCATCTGGGGCGCATGCTCCACCTGCATCCTTGCCGCATGCTCCGATGTTGCGGCCGCTGCCCTCACCGCCACGTACTCCCTACGGTCATTGATCTCCTTCTTCTCCGGAAGCCATTTCTTTGCATGCTCATCCAAGAGGGTTTCATCCACCAACATGATCTTTGCATCATCCGCGTCTCATGTGAGTTGCAACCTCTCCTTCTCAAACCCAATCTCTGCAAATGGCTTGGCCTTCTCGAGCTCCCATATGACCCCCCCCCTTGCTTCCTCAACCCGATCTTCTCCCTCTCAATTTCCAGCTTCTTCTTCGCCCACTTCCGGTCCCAATCCATCCTCTCCTTTTGCACATCCAACATGAGCATGTACCTCTCTCTTTCCTGTTCTCCCTGACCGAAAAAAAAATCTCGTCCATGTGGGGGAGATTTTTGTAGCCGCGGCATCACAGGAGGGCCTTGCCTTCTCCCACTTGTTTTCCATGACTTGTCGGTTATCCTTTGGCACGGTGAATCTTTCATTCTCGACGACAATATCGTCCTCTTCATCGTCAAACCCAATTCATCGGTGGGAGTTTGACCCATCATTCATCTTCTTGCTGGCCTCGAGATCCGCCACAAGTTGTGTCCACTTTGGCTTGTTATTCAGTATGACCCAACAATGGCTAAAAGCAAATGACTTCGTCTCCATTTCATGATACAAAGTGGCCACCGCCGCCGTCTAGCAAACAACATATGTATGAACACCAGAAGGCAGACACAATAAGCATATGCAAATGATGACAGGATGAAGCAATCGAGCTTACGTGAGTTGCCACTCCCGTCCCACTTTGAGGGTGGTCGTTCACTTGTGAGTAGTGTAGGGGTTACGATCCTGACAATGAGTACTAGGGGTATGAAAGAGGGGCAGAGCCTAGCTACGACATAGGTGTAACACTCGGTGTTTACAAGTTCAGGCCCCTCTAGGAGGAGGTAACAACCCTACGTGTCGTGCCCCGAGGCTTGTTTTTTTGGGGGGGTGGGGTGGGGGTATGATTACAGAGAGTGCTTAACCCTAATTCTGGAGGAGGAGGGCTTATATAGACTACGCTATAGCCTCCTTCACTGCCACATCACCAAGGTGATTAATACCCATAACTACGGTAGTTACAGGTGTAAACAGTCACAACTACGACAGTTACAGGTAACGGTAGCTATGACTCTACTTAAAGCTCGACTTAAGACTACTCGACCATTGCAGCTCCCACATCGTCCCTCCACCTCCCTTGTCCGAGTGGTGGTGGTCATGCCGACTAGAGGGTAGGAATTCGAGTGTTGTTGATGTGTCCGAGTGGACTTCTTGTTATATGCATCTGAATGCTCCTATTGTCCAGAGACCCACCAATGATGGTGTGGAACCCTAGGTGAGCCATGGATGACAGGTCCTTGACCCAACCTATAGTAGGTGACCTCATCATTAGCCCCCAAATCCGTTGAGGTTTCGTATGGCAAATGGCATGAGCTTTTCGGTTAAGTCCGAGTGCTTCAGGGGCACTCAGAATATGTTTCTGAATAGTAGCCCACTGCACCTTGGACGAAAGCACAATGGATTCTGGACTAAAGTGTTCCCGGGGTGTCCGGGTGTTGTTAATCGCCAAGTAAGACTTGGTGGCATTCATATGTTTCTCGGGAGAGACAACTAGAGTTCTGAATGTGGACATGCCATAAAAACTCGAGTGGCGACGTCGGCGCGTGGTCTGACTCTCCGGGGAGATGCCACTCCACATCCCAGGGGAACGCCAGCGCAGGCCATCTCTGAATCCATGTTTACAAGCCATGCGCCTTGGAGCCTAGTGAAAGGGCCAAGCTAACCCATAGAGGGGCATCAAGCTCGTCTCATAGAAATCCTGAAGGTGACTTTAGTCGGGTGTTTTGTAAGTCCAAGTGCACGGGTCCCTGAGGAGGGTGGTCATTCGGACTGACAAATGTCCTTTAGGAAAGGGACGGTCGGTAATTAGTTAGATTGATTCACCGCAGAAATCATGGGATTCGAAATTAAGTGTGCACAGAAGCGGCAACGTTGTGGCTTAGTGGGGAAAGTGGGGCATGATACCTCGGTTTTCTTCACCCAAAATTCGCCATGTGCCATGGTTATTCTATGTGTGCTGCCATCGCGGGCATCGTCGATCCAGGGATCTGTGGCTGAAGATCCGTGGTGCGATTTTTACTAGAGTTATAGAAGATATCGGGGCTAGGGTTATTCCCTCAAATCCCCCTTTCCTTCTCGACTCCTCCTCTTCTTTCCTCCACCCGACCGCTCCTTTGCCAACTAGAGCACTTGAGGCCATGCGAAGGACTCCATGATGAAGACAGAGAAGGCAAAGAAGGTTGGGAAAGCCACATCCTCGAGCTCGGGTGCTCCGGCTGGCGGTGCATTGAGGGATTGGATCCCTTCATGCATCTTGGCCAAACGGATGGAGGGGCTCGCCACAGAGGGGAAAATTCCCGCGGATGGGTGGAGGCGCTCGAAGGCGGGCAAGGTCGCGCCGACACAGCAGGAGGACAAGTGTGTCCTCTTGGTGACCCACATCGAGAGAGGTTTCTTGATGCCCCCTCACCCTTTCTTCTAGGCTTTTTTGGACTACTTCGGGGCGCAGCTCCACCATCTTCCTTGAAATGCTCTTATCTACCTCTCGGCTTTTGTTTTTCTTTGCGAAAACTTTCTTGGTTGCCATCCGCATTGGGGTATCTTCAAGCACATATTTGCATGTCGGTCGATGACCATGAAGAAGGATTCGCCGACTAGTGCGAAGACCCAGGTCACTTAGCTATGCAGAGGTTTAGAGATTCAGCTCAGGGGGCAGTGTCTTCCCTAAGATGAGCTTCCCCAACTCCATCAAGGGATGGCAGGGGACTTTGTTTTACTGCAGGGATGTTCCTGGACCCAACAACTAGTCGGGCATTCCCCTGTACTCGATGAGGGAGTCCTGGACTAAGGGGTCCTCTAGTGTTCGACCAATTGGATATGGGCCGGACTGATGGGCCGTGAAGATACGAAGACCGAAGACTTTACCCATGTCCGAATGGGACTCTCCTTGGCATGGAGGGCAAGCTTGGCAATCAACTATGAAGATTCCTTTCTGTGTAAAACCGACCTTGTGTAACCCTAGATCCCTC